TATCTATCTATCTATCTATCTATCTATCTATCTATCTATCTATTGTGGTATATTTAGGTCCTACCCCTTTAAGAAACATGGACGAGCATCAGACTGTGAACGTGGCCGACCGGAACGCGCATGGGGGCGGACACGAGCTTTCTTTGTTCAGTTTCTCCGTAACATCACGTTGTTAAGGACCTATTTCTTGTCTCTCGCTTAATAAACATGTGTACAAGCTGAAGGAATCGCCTTTTTTCATTTCTTTATCAGTCTAAGAGTTTTTTAACCGTCAACAAGTCAACAGCAGGACGTTCGCTGGTTTTCCATCGAATCAGCCGGATTGAGCCACCGACTGACTGAGACGAGACGAAAGGTCCAGATCGCTGGAGGGCCCAGGAGAAACCGGACAAGAAACCACACTATCTATCTATCTATCTATCTTGAAAAGATGTTATTGAATCAATGTTGATTCATGGTTGAATTCAAAAGATTGAAATGGCAACATCTTAATCATCTAATCAGTGTTGAATCAATTTTGATATAGTATCAGTTATGAAAGAGACCTTTAATGGCATCACACATGAGCACAATGAAATTACAGTTCAGAACAACCATTCAGAAGAAGACAGAACATAACAAACACAGGAGAACAGGTGCTCTGGGTCATGCAGCCACAGACCTGCACAGAGCAAGGATCATCTTCATGAAGACATCAGGAGGAGGTGAAACCCTTAACAGAAAAACTAAAAACCACACAAGGGAAGACGAGGGAAAAAACAAAACATCATATTAAATCAACACTGTGACACACTAACCTCAGCATAGAGCACATTCATTAGCCAGAGGAGTAAGTGAGTTTAGAGGGACGTGTATCTGAAGCCATGAGTGTTGTATGCCTGTGTGAATATCTGAAGAATGAGCCTGAAGAATCCAGTCCCCAAAACCAGCACAGCCATAGTTCAGTATGTGGATGGTAACTGTTCATTCTGTGCGGCCTTCAGCTTGCTCCAGGAACCAGATCAGACGGGTGTAAGAGGAGAGTTGGGGAGGTGTGGAGCAGAGCCTTGTCGACATAATCCAACCAGGAAGAATTTAGTCAACAGCTCAAGTCCATGAAGGAGATCCAGATTCTGTAATCAGTTGTTTTGGGAACAGAAGAGTCAGGCAGACAATAACAATTTTACATCTGCTTTAATGTCTGCTGCTACATCTCAAGGTGGTGAATCCAATCAGACAAATAGTGTGGATGATTCTGCCGAGCCGATCTATCAGCTTCTCCAA